AGGAAGGCTAATTTTTCATTAAAATTATTATATGAAAGTCGTTTCTACTTTTCTATTTGATTTTATTACAATTCATAATGTGCGATTTGTTATACATATATAAGAGACTGCAAATTTTTGTGCAAAATATATTTTGTAGGAATTTACAAAAAAAATACGCTGACCTTGAAATAGCGGAGAACGTGACCTTGACAAGAAATCCTCTCTATCACAGTAACTGTCACACTGAAACAAACATTTTGCTTCTTTACACATTTTTCATATAATTAAAATATTGACGGCGACGGTCTTAGGCGATTCATCCGGTATATTCGATTCCCCGTTTACACAATTGTACTCAATCAGTGAATTATCGAACTCAATCAATTATTCCTTGGCTTTTATTAATCTTCTTTGTTTCATATCGATTTATCCTCACACTTTCATAGATTCAACCTCTAATCTCTTTCATCTTCGCTTTTCATTTTCCAACGCACTTCGTCTCTCTCTCAAAGGGAATTTCTTCTCAATCATCTCGTCTTCCACCATTGAGACGGTTCGATTGCCTAAAGAGAATCATTCTTATCACAAAGTGTTCAGAGAAAAGAATACCTTCTTCTGATTAAATCCAGGAATTCTTTCTTTATTTTCCCTTTAATTCTACCGTTAAATATAGGAAATACTGAATCTATATTTCCTTCAATTAGAAACATGAAGTACGAATCATTCTTAAACTATATATATTGAATCTCGTTTTGTTAATTTTAAAATTAGATACGCGGTGTGAGAAACTGATGCGACTAATTGGACTCAGATTCAATGTGACGATCAATTGTACGGTATCTTCCGCGTTGCATGTGGTATTAAACATACAGCAGCGCGAAAGGGGTGAAACTCAAAGGGGTTCGAATTCTTTCCTTGAAGTTCCGCGCGGCAGGCAGGGAATATAGGTTATCGGGTACGTAAGGCGATAGGAGGAGGGTGAGCTGCGTTGGAGGTCGAAGTCAAACTGTAGAGAGCGGATCTACTGTTGAAAGATATTGACACGTCTAGTCTTCCAAACCAGGGACCGTAATTTTTCCCTCGGCCGGAAAGTAGGGACGACGCGACCATGATGGGGACTGGTACTTGATGGGTACCTGAAATTAATTTTTATCGTTTTCAGTTTTGATCTCCTCTCAATTACAAAAAAGATCGATCGTATATTACGTATCGTATATTATAAGCCGAAAACATTTTACTTTTAGAAATTAATTGTAGACAAATTATAAAACAGCATGACAAATGTACAGTGGAGTCTATAAGTATTCGTGGAGATTTATTTGAATAA